AGATTAACTTGTCTGAATTACGTGAATTCAAGCATAGTATTTCTGGGCTGTCAAAGAATCCCAAATCGGAGAGTCTGAGATTATAAAGCCTGAATCCACTGACTTTGTTAAATTATTTACACTGTCTCCTCAGGTCTGGCTGGAGAAAGAGTGACAACTGCGAAGAAGGAAATGGTATTACAGCCCCAACATTTAAATGTTTCTCCTTTACAAATGGTAATTCAAGATGTTTTGACAAAACCAAAGTATATTCCTTAATAATAACTCTGCTGTTCAATGGCTCCTTGTGTTCTGTTCTCAGTTCACACACTGAACCATCATTTGAGTGCCTAAGTATCCTTCAAGGATGCCTTCAAATGCGCAGCTGGCAGCTGGCATATAGGGTTTCTTTTGTGTTCCTCTTCCTAACAGAAATATCCATAGATTGTAAGTTTTGAAAGAGCAGATATACTCATTTCTCCATTAAATGCCATGTGCTTTTATCAACAAAGGCTTAAGAAATGCTGCTCGCCATAGAGGAATTTCGATGAGGAGAAAATCGGTTCCCTAAGTGGAATTTGGCCAAGATGGAATACAGTGTCCTGTCACACAGTTTCTAGATCTGTGGGTCCTTGGAAAAACAAAAGACAAGAGTTTGCAGATCTAAGACACGGGCACAGCCCTAGCTTTTCAGTTTGATGGGTACAGGCCCGCATGGCGTAATGGAATGTGTACTTATTGCAGAGGCTCCAGTCCATGATACTGAAACATTTGTCAGTTGATCAGTAAGCTTTTGAGATTGAAAGATGCAGAGGAACAAAAATATTAAGAAACTACCATACCGCCCACACATTCAGAGGATGACTCATTAAGAGGCAAATTCTGCAAAGTGTTCCACACTTCTCTGCAGCTCTGCAGAGGAAAAATTAAACAATGACGTAAAACAAGAAAAAGTACTCTTTGCAACTGTCCCACCACCAACTGCTCAGAGCTATTCAATAAAGATCACCTCTTTCTCTCCTCAGCCCACACAGGGGTTCAGATGTCAGTAGCAGAACAAGCGATGTTTGAATTTAGCCCTGTCCACCTTTTTGACGACTCTTCCCAGCAACTGATGATAGAAGTGAAGAAATAACTGTGGAGATGACTGGCATCTGTTGTTGGCTTTTCAAGCACTAGCTGAACTACGATCTATCCTAGGATGACTGGTGTTTTTTCTGCTTTGGGAAATGCAACTGTGATCAGGTCAGGCATGGGCCTAACTGCTTTGTACTAAATAAACCGGTGCTGTGCAAAAGGTTTAGACCATTTGTGGAACATGTGATGTGGAAACTATACCCTTATGCTATGGGAAGCAGGTGGGAAGCAAACGTGCCTGTTTATTACCCAGTGTTATGCGAGTTCTCATCAGCTTGCCATGCAAGAACAAGACTCTGCAGATGTAATCTACAGACATTCATTCACACTGAGATATGTTAACACCACCTCTGAATCTTCAGGCTTATTTCATCTCGGTTCAAGTTGAAGGGGTCAAGTATGAGATGTGTATTTGCCTTCAGGAGCTGGAAGCCTGAAACAGTTGATAACCCAAGTGGCAGATTTCTAGAGATTAGCAGTAAATCTAAAGTAATACATTAATGTGGTGTGGGTTGGGATTTTTTGGTTTATTTGTTTGTTTTAAGTATGGCATATCATGTCCTATTAAAAAAAGTTTGACTAAATAATTATGCAAAAGGCTTTAATAATTTAAATACTTGTTCAGCCATATGGAAATGTACAATCTGTTTTCTGTTCTGTGGGAAACCTACAGTTGCTATAAACCTAATGAATTGTTTTAAAACCTCACATCCATTATTTAATGCAACAACTTGCTAAAATAACACCACTAATTCTGTTACAATCTGCTGTACTGGAGAGGCTTAGGGATGTGATATAAACTCTAATAGTGATCAAAAATCCTCTACAGTTCAGGAGGATGCAGCACTGGAGTTTAGTCCCGTTACCTCTGAAAATACGATCACTTCATCCTTGTGCAAGGAAATGTCATTATAATATTTCACAGAACGGAAGACATAACATGACAGTTTGGTTCATTAGTATTTTTTTCCATGTAATGCTTTATAAAAGAGATAAAGCTGAAGAAAATAAAACCAGACATGTAAATATTATGATGAAGTACATTGTTCTTATTTAAATAAATTTCCTTGAGCATCTTCTTCAAAGGTGAAAATTAAACACTAATATTTGTCGCACTGTATAAAAGTGATGGTAGCAATTATAAAGAATCCGATGGTCTTACGCTTTTTTATCCTATTCTTAAGTTTTCACAGCAAAAATATTAAAATTTGCAATATTACCAAAAAAGATGCAAACCTGTCAAATATATTACTCTGAAGTAAATTAACAATTAATTTACAGGAACCTACCATAGGAACTATTAAGTGGACAGTAGTAGTGGTTTTCTATATAAAATCTATCAAAAATTGTTGGAGAAAATATATGAAGCGTAGCTGATAGCTGATGAAATCTGCAATATGGCCACAGAGAAATAAGTTGCAGATCATCAAAGTTAGCTCTTGTGCAGAAACATCCACCATGAGTTCACTAATTTCATTTTTCACTGGAGAAGAGCAGGAGGTTTCCATAATGCAACCATCATAGGAAACTGATTCAACGCTGTACTTTACGCTTCACCCGTAGTTGGAACTTGCAACAGTTTAGATTTTTTTGTTACTCTGATCTCTCTTGCTCTCCAGAAGTCTACGTAAGTATAAAAATCTTCAGCACAAAGACAGCTCTCTAAAGCACTGGCAACTGGTCTTAGTAGAAGACTGTTCAAAAAAAGAAAGGAACAAACAGATTTAGACAGACTGGTAAAGAAATATTGGTAAAGCAATACAGTAACACTCTATACATAATCCAGAGAACTAGGGGATCATTAGAAACTGAGAGATTTGTACTCTATGACCTGCAGATGCACATAAACTCATGGAGCTCAGAGGACCCTTAGCAGATATAAAGGTGCTCATCTGTCCAAGCCTTTTTTAGCCTGAGTCAGCAGCCAAGCCCTGATCTTGCAACAATGAAGGCACTTTCAACTATTCTGAAGAGCTGAAAAGGTCAAGTGATTGATTCTACCCAAGCTCAGGCATTTAACTAAAGCACCTAGACACGGACCTAATTAATCCAGGCTCTGTTCATCAACCACAGACAGAAAGCTGCAACCTCAAGAAAGTACTTCAGTGTTGCCCAGGTCAAGGGTTACAGTGTTCCTAGCTTAGACATCTCAGCCAGGTTACCGAAATCAGGTGTGATGACCAAGTGAGGGTCTCCCTGTATATGAGTCCTCTTAGCAAAGTCCATGGAGCTTTAACCATTCACATGATCAAAGATAATCAGTGTATGTGTGTTCCACTCTAGTAGACCTGCGTTGAGCACCAGGACCAGACAGAACGGTTTCTGGATCTTCACCTAAATTAGGAAAGGGTTCTACTTCCTATGGAAATTGTTGGCAGCTTTATAACTTCCCCCTCCCCACTGGCTAGACTTCAAAACAGTTCCCTTTCAAAATTTGTCAATGTTTATTTAGTTCAAATTCTGAATGGATACTTGGCTTTTTTTCATATTTTTTTTCAGAGATGAACTTCTGAAGGACTTTTTTTTTTTTAGTTAGTTATTTGAAACTCTTAAGTCAGGAACAGAGCCTACAAATTTTCATTGCCCTATTCTGGCTGGTGAAGAACAAACCCCCAAATCCCCACAGATTTTCCCATAGCAAGAGGAAAGCTCCAGTACGTTACGTAGTGGGTGCCTCACTTTTGTCCTCCCCAAAACAGAGAGGATGTTTTCTAAATAATTTCTGGGGAAAGCTTTGTCTCTACAGATGCTGGTCTATACACTGCTGGTACAGCTCACCTCTCATGGGAGGTCTTAGTACCACTACAAGATGAGCTGTGGTGTGGTTGAAGACAAATACAATGACATTTGATTTTTATTCATTCCCAAATGGAGTAATATGGAGTTTCCTTGCTTCTCACTTCTCACCAAGAAGGTGACTTTACCCACTTTCTAATTTGTATCTGCACCACTAAGAACTGGCCCCTGGTCTAGCCTTTAGAAGCCTTATGCTGCAGCTGGAGAAGTAACTGGGCAATTCCCAGATCACCCGAGAGCAGCACAGGGAGCGTTCCCACCTTGCTTATGTTCAATGAATACATGCCAAGCACATAATGTTAGTTAAGACATACTGTACCTCCAGCTGTTTGCATCCTGATGTGTTTATTTCCTTCTAATCTTAATTAAAAAACAAAAGATAAAGACGGTTAAAACATTGTAACATATCACTAATTTAGAACACCGTTAAAAAAAAAAAAAACACACACACCAAAGGTACTTGTGTTCCAAATCCAGCTAGTATTATTTTGGTTAATAGTGTTATTTTTCTTCTTTTTTTTGTTTTACAGCAAATTTTGGAAGCATCAGCCATATGTTTACGACTTGTCTATTAAGTACCTATAAACCTAATGCTTATTCCCACTGTTCAAAAATATCACATGGAAAAGAAACAGTTTCCACTGGGTTTCATATAAGAACAGAAATAAACCTGAAAGCGAGCACTTACTAACTGTTATTACTGGAATTCACCACAATGCAAGTAAATACCTTCAAAACTAAAAATAGCACCAGGGCTCTGCAAGTGCATCTATCACAGCCTCTTAGTCCTAACAGGGTTTTGTTTTCTTTGAATTTGCAGAGTGCTCAGAGCACGGAGAAGCTGTTCAGAAGACAATGTACCACATTGTCAGCATCTGCTCTAGGATCCTTCTGCAAAAGTAAGTGTGTTAAAATTTAAATAAATGGGAACAATCATGTTAACGATTATAAATAGCCCCACTGCCTTAAGAGGCTCCAAGGCTAGCCAGTCTGTCTGAAATAATAATTGATTTTTAAAGGAAGTACATCCTACCAGATAAAATTAAACTGAGGAAGCAGGAGAAATGCAATACGCAACCTTCCAATACCTTTCGGTGCAGCTTTCGTCTGACTGGAAACCATGGCAGCCGCGTCCGACGGCAGGCCAACATACACCCCACCATAGTTCCTGATTTAAAGAAACAATTAAAGAGACATCAGAGCTCAATTGTAACACTTCTCCCTATAATGTCAACATAATGCAGCAGCATTACGAAGACCATGGATGATCAGAGAGGAGGGTACCTCTGCACAAGCATCCTCAGAGGAACCCTCCTTTCCCATGGCTATAGGAAAAGCGCATACTAAGTGCCAGGTGCTCGCTAATATGGTGCCAGGCAAAAAACCCTGAGGCTAGCTGTTATTCTTAGGTGGGACCCAAGCCTGTGAAAGAAGCTATTTTTCACTCAAGTTCCTAGTACTTTTCATTAAAACCCAACTGTGTTGTGACAATAAACCCCACTGGCCCAGCTTCTTCTGGACACCGAATATATCCAACTGAGGACAGAGCCAATCTGATAGTAATGTTCAACACCAGGACCACTGAAGCACCACACTTCAAACAACGCACACCAATTTAACAGCAGTTTGTCCTCTCCTTGTTCATGAATAGGACCTGCATCCCCCTGCTTAGGGCCACACTTGGAGAAAACTTAGTAGGAAGGAGCATGAGGGGTTAGGTACTTCCATAGCCCAATCCCCTCCCCTTCATAGCCTTGCAGAGCTTATTTTCTAGCTCCAAGGCCTGTACGAAAAGCAAGGACTGATGCATGGAGATGAAAAACTGGGTCGTTATGAGCCTCTGTTGTACTGGGAGCTACCTGCAAAGACTCCCATTATGCTGCTCTGCCCCATTAGGTGCCAAATTAATCACACCTCCTCCAGCCCCCAAGGGTCTGAGTTGATTTCTGATTTGTTTGATGATAGAGTCGCACTTCCTTCGATTTCCAGCCCAGCAGAGATCTTCCACAAGTGCTAATGCCATCTTCTGTGGCAGGACTGGTGGGAAGGCAGAGGTCACCGTCCCTTAGTGAACACATCACTAACAGCTGTGAGATAATATGCTCTCCTTGCCACAGAGCTCCCCCCTTCCCAACTCACTAATGGGGTGGGTGGACTCATCAATACTGGGCTCTCTGAGAGATTTCCTACTCCCTTTTCTTTTTTTTTTCTCCCCTCTGCTTTGGTGGTGTTGGTGGGAATGAATTAGGAGGAGGAAGGGAAGGATGTACATCTGGTGGCAGAACTCACTGCAGCCTGTTGCAAACGAAGCCAGTCCAAGTAGAGCACCTACCTCCTTTTGTCATCATCCGATACAGATTCTTCTGCTCTGTAACATCAAGAGATATAAAGCACATTAGCACATTGTTTCTTTCAGATAGTCCATCACCATCTGGGTAGATTCAGCAGCATGGGAAGAAGGGGATTATCACTGATCCCAGTTTAATTCAGGTCATCCACAACTCAAGAAAGGATTCACACAGGCACAAAAAGAGTGACAATTTTCCAATCTAATGGACAGAAGAAAGAAAAGCATTGAGAATCATTGCAGCTTAGTTTTCATCACCTCCACCAGTGATGCCTGAAAGTAGGTTTGGGAGCTAAAACAGGTAAACTAACACTTTTCCTGAGTGAGTCCCCACATTGCTCCACACATAACATGAAACATAAAGGCTCTGCACATAACATGAACGAGTCTGGGCTGTTATTGCACCAAAAGAGGACTCTAAGGGACTGGGCATCCATGCTGGCATGGGAATGAGCATGAAGAAAGATAAACTTTCACAGCAGCTGTGCCAAAAGATGTTACCTCCATAAAATGAGGTACTGCAATTCCTGAAGTCAGAGTAGTCTGCAAACCAAATAAGTGTTACTAATCCTTTATAAATGGGCAATTACTTCTCTTTTACCTTTAAAGGGTAAAATCACAGGTCAGTCTGTAGGTCGATAGATAAGGTAATTGGCATTACTCCCCTCACTGAAATACTGTGCAGTGTAGCAGGAGATAAGGTAATTGGCATCGATATGAAGGTAAATGTAGCACAGAAAAGATAAAAAAATTACTTTTAATCCCTGAGGAGAGTACAGTGCCTGCCCTGGAGCCTCAGTCTGTGTCCCAGCATCAGTCTTCACACAAACCACTCGCCCACCTTTGATTAAATATTTGGACATTGAGCTCTGCTTCCACGGCTGGGCATGGATCAGGACAGCAGCTGCATTTTAGCTTGGGCTGCAACCTACCAACCTAGCAATAAAAACTGAGGCAAGATAACTTGAGTGCTGTCAAATCCACAGATGTCCTTCACCCTGTCCCTGGGAGGCAACTGTGACAACTGCCCAAGAAGGAGTCCCGCACCGTGGCTGCTCAGGGAGCCATGAGCTATGGGCACAGCGGTGCCCGGGGAAGGCTGCCAACAGCGAGGGGGCACCACGACCCAAGGAGGGCTCCACTGCGGAAATACTCACGCACAGGCTGTTCACCCAGACACCCTCACCTGAAGGACCAATTGCCTGGACTATGGGGGCAATGCAAAGATACTCCCCATCATGAGCTGATCCGTGAATTTCTGATCTGCTCCCCAGGCAATAAAAACAAGAACTAGCATTTACCCAGTGTTAGGGCTAAATCCATTCTGCAGCCTTGAAAGGCATTTCTGAACTATGATATTTAACAATAATCTATGACATTTCTTATTGTAATTTATTTATTCTAAGAGGTAAATGTGCCTATTGTTTAATCGTCAGGGCTGTATGCCATTACTGACCCCTGAAGTCAATGGCATTTTGGCCCAAAGTGCAGAGGGCTTGTAGCAAGATGCAACCCTAAATGCAAGAAAACACCTCAGTTTAACCTCAGTCAGCACTCTCCTGGAAGGGTAGCAAGCGCCTTAAAATACTGCTACAAGATGGAAATTATCTTATGCTTATCTTCTTTCTAAGTGGCAGAACATTGCAGACTATCCATTCTGCGTCACCACAGTGAATAAGGGTACACAGGTCCTTTTAATAGTAGAGATTGGAGGTAAATTTAAGTATGCTGCAGTTTTTCTAAATTACATTCATGCAGGGGACAGCACTGAGTGGGGTGAGCCTCCTCATCTGCTCTCTTTGACTATATCTTACCACTCAAGAGAGATGGAGCAACAAACTCCTCATTCTCTGGCCCCCCTGCCACTCCTCCCTGGAGGACCTAGTGCCATTTCAGAAGGCATCTCCCATCTCCTCTGACCCCACGTAGCCTAAGCCACCTCACACACACAGCCAGAAAAATACAGAGACAACTTCCCTTGAGGACTGCAAAGCTGCTTTGTCCTAGTGTGGGCCAGCTCCATCTGAAGAAAGTGGAAAGTCTGTGTATATCAATCATCAGTTGAAGTGAGCCCCGTATTTTTAGCAAGAAAAATGGCAACACTTAAAGAAAGGGACTTTGGGTGCCAAAAGATCACAAACAATCATTCTTGTTGAACCAACCGAATGTGTCACAGGATTGATTTTTCTCAAACAACTGGAAACATTTTCTATAATCCAGATTAACCATTATCCAGAGAAAAGAATCCTTTAAAAGCACTGGCAACTTCATATGTAGCTCAAAGCGTCTAAAATTGAATTGTAAGAATAATAATCAATATTGTCCAACAGGAAATTAATGTCAATGTTTAAAACACCCATAACCTCTACTAGGAAACAGGGCTATTTTCTTCTATTCTAGAAATGTTTTGTAACGGGGCATCACTGGACCATTACTGTCATTCTCTCACCAAAACAAATTATCCAGGTCTATGATTAAGCAGACTAGGGGGTGTTCTTAAACATTTTGCTTTCTTCCTTTCCTCTTAAGAGCTACAGATCAAAGTCTAATTTTGCAATACCTTTTCTCTTAAATGCGCAATAGCAAATACATTCTGGGACTGTACAGGCCACAACTCTGGCTGGGTGATGACGGGGTACAATCTGTTGTGGTTCTGCTAGGAAAGAGGATGTGAGCAGAGACAGGAGGAACATGGATGGAAGCGGGGGCGGGGGGAGAAGAAAAATTCTGGTGATGGCACTTGAAGAAGCCATTTTCCACCCCTTTCTGGGGACTCATTTCTAAGCAGCATGGGAAGGAGTGTTGCTCCAGTTGATGCATTAGGCATATTCTCACACTTCTTGCCTTCAAACACTGTAGCATAAAGTCCCATTTTGAAAGGTGCCCACTAATTTCACATGTTCAAACGCTCAGGTGCCAGCTGAGCCACTGCAGCAGGCGCTGCTTCCGTGCCCAGGCTGGGTGAACATAGGTGGCTCCGGAGAAGAGGGCTGCAACGGCAACACCCAACCGCATGGAAATGAGAAATGAAAGAAGCTCCTTTGGTTTCGGCAGTGCTCCCATTGACACATCTCCCAGACTCACAGGGAGGATATGGGGATACAGGAGTCCAGCACATCCTTTCTCTACCACCAATACATCTTTAGTTTCTTCTTATGTCAGGGATGAAGGAAGAACCTAGCATAAAAAATATCTTTAAGTATCTCCATTTACGGAGTCTTCCAGGAAGAGCAAGCTAGACGGCAAAAGGAACTTGGCAGTCTGATGTGCTTTGTACTGATCTGCTGCCATGTCGCTGCATCTTCCCTCAGATGTTTTTGTCATCTACTAAAGAGGAACTGAAAGCACGTTTTTCAGCAGGTAGCGTAGGTAGAGTCCTGTAGGCAGTAGGTGGATTTAACAGCAAATCCACATAACAGCATTCTATTTTCAGCTAGAATAAATGTTTCTTTTGGTAAGGATTTGTCCATCCCAAGAGGCTTCCTGTCACCCTCCTAAGTCTGAAAAATATACTTGGTTCAACTGTCAGTTTTTACATCCATCAGTCCTATGTCCATTTGATGGTAAAAACAGCTGCCATCTTTCATAATATTTTAAATTCAAATGACAGGCATTCACATTAATTCATTCCATCCACATTTTTCTTACCTCAGCTTTTATGACCCTGTTCGTGCCAAGCATTAGACTCTTTCTAGCCACGCTCAGTTGTCCCACCAGAAATGATTCACTAAACTTTGCACAAGTGACAGACTACTCCTCCTCAGTTTCTCAGGGTTTCTTGAGAACAAGGGCCTGTGATTTGTAATAGATGGATTCCTTCCCAATGTTTTGAAACAGGCTTGAACTGCTGTGTCCTTTTCTTCCTACTGTTACTAATCTTCCTCCGAACTTAGCCACATTCTGAATATCACAGGCATTGCATTATTTTCTAGCATATACTTTACTCCTCCTATATCTAAGCTTCTCCAGTTAGCAGTGATGTATTTCTTTTTATTAGTGGGGCTGAAGCGGTGGCTGAAGCTGGCTGACAGATTCACTGTTGATTTGAGAGTTGGAATACATAGGGGGAGATCCCGTTCCAGGATCATATGTCCTTGTCACCACACAGCCCTCAGTCTCACAGCACTCCACATAGGAAGATAACATCATCCCTGTCCTACTGGTGGAGAAACTCAAGGCCCAGAGGGCAAAGCAGCTTCCCCGTGGTCACCCGGGAGGGCTCAGAGCAGGATCCAGCCCTCCCTCCTTCCACCCGGCTGCTCACTCCAGGAGACACTGGTGCCTTGGCAACGAGTCGCAGTCAAGAAATGAGAAATCTCTTGAGTTAGAATAACCAGGTTCTGTATCAAAAAGTATGCCATGAGTAAGGACACACCGAAAAGCTTTTCTGCACTAGAATCGATATGACTGAAATTTGACAGCGAAAAAACATGTGGGTTTTTTCAAAAGAATTTTTTTTAATCTTTAGCTGATAAAAGTGAAAAGGTGTAAAATAAAAGCTTGTGTGGATCTACAATGTTAGTTAATAGAAATCTGTTCATTTCCATGAAACTAAAATAGTTTTTCTGGTATTTTACTTCCTTCATAAAAATTTGCTGTTAAATATTAAGATGATCGATATAGGACTTTTCAGGTCACCACTGCCGTTCCTCATTAACAGATCTGCTTTCTAATGTCTGATGAGAAAGCTCAGCCATGCTATTACTCACCCAGGTTGTTCGGCTGGCTCCACTATACTTATCTGAATGAGTAATGGTTCCAGGATTGACCGTTTCACTTTTAGAAGTCTGCACTAGTAATTAATTTTTTCTAAGTTATCCCGATACTTTTTTGAAACTTGACAGATGATTTAACAGTAAGAAGTAGGACGTTCCCAGCTTCATTCCTAAAGCCTGGCCCTACAAATGTTTACACACACAAAGGCAGTTCTACATATACCAATCCACACCTTTAAGCAGAGAAATGTGCCTACTAAATTCACAACTTAACAGTGCTTGCAATTTTGCAGTTTAAAACTACCGAAGAGCAAAGAAAGAGATGCAGTTCTAAGTCAGTCACTTAAATTATCTAAATTGAACAACAAAAAAAAGGCCATAATATAAATTAAAAACAGTGGGTTTGTATATATAAAAGTGCTGAGGGCTTGGATGCTGCAGGCTGTATCAAGAAGAGGTTCCTCATAAGCTTGCTTTCTGTAATTTATTTATAGAACCATAGAATGGTTTAGGTTGGACAGGACCTTGAAGATCATTGAGTTCCAACCCCCCTGCCATAGAAAGGGACACCTCCGACTAGACCAGGTTGCCCAAGGCCACATCCAGCCTGGCCTTGAACACCTCCAGGGATGGGGCCTCAACAGCCTCTCTGGGCAACCTGTTCCAGTGCCTTACCACCCTCAGAGTGAAAAACTTCTTCCTAATGTTTAATGTAAACCTGCCCTCTTCCAGTTTATTTATTCCAGTTTATTGCCTGACATTGCAAACCCAGAAAACAGACTACACGGGTAGCACAGATCTCAGGAGTATCTGTGACAACAGCATTCATCTGCCAAGTGAGACCTGTCGTTAGTTCTTAGCTGTGCTCTGTAATAGCAAGGACAAGCCTGTTGTTAAGCTTTTCTCTCCACTTGTTTATCTGACTTGACAGCGCTCATTTCTACACCAGAATTCCTCCATCTAATTAGAGTAGTTACTCTAAATGAAGTAAATAAAACTGAAGAATGTTCCTATTGCACAACATGAAAATCGTTCCCAGGCCCCTCAGTCTCAAACTCTAGTGGTAAATACCAATTATATGAAATAGAAGAAAGCAAGACCTCGGGAGGACTTCTGTAATGTTTCCTTTGATAGAAAAATAAATTTATGGCTGAATAAAGCTCTTTCTGCACATTTCTGCATCAGCAAATGATAAATGGGGTGAGAAAGCCTGTTCTTTTGCTGCTGCTTTTCTGAAAACCAGAAGTTGGCAAGAGGCAACAGGACAACAGAGGTTCAGACCTTCCACATTTAGAGAAAAACAGGATGGGTAGGGCTGCCCTCTGCTACTCAGCGTCAAACATAAGGGAGAGAAAGAGGAGCTGATAGATACTATCTTCAATGCGGAGAACATCTACACAAGGCGGGTACGTTGAAAAGAAAGTCTGGATGGGTTACTGGGTCTTCTGCAAAGAAGGGGAATTTGCCTCAGTGGCTCTTTAAATCTCTCACAGGGCTAGGTGGAAATTTACGTGGTTGCTTCATACAATCAGACGGCCATTGGAAAAAGGTGTACTGGTATGTGATAGGGAAGAGTAGGCTGAAGTAACGTGACCATGTCTGGGAGACAACTCTCTCAACAGAAGCAGATAAAAGACATTTCTATTGGAGAAATAACAAGGGAAGAAATTCATAGAAAAGTAAACAAGACATGAAGTTGTTTCGTGGCGATGGAAGCTGTCACTAAAGACAACAAACATCTGGTGGTGTTGATTATATGTTAGGAGGCAGATGAATCATGTATGACTAAATCTAGTATAAGGCTGGTAGGACTGAAGATAAGTCCACGGTTACTTATTTGAAAGATAAGAGTAAGTACTTACACATCTTTAGTAGTCCCTGTGGCACCTAGAATGAAAAAAAAAAAACTGCATGTTTACAAGATACGGCATAATGCTCTAAACCAACTGATAGTACAAGTAAGCATTTATCTGCCTTTTTGTCCTAAACAATGTAGAAATAGCAACAGGAATTTTCTACTGTCAGGGAACAGGTTCCTCATGATTGTCTAGTTTATCCTTAATGATTATCTATATTATACCTTAAGTTTATCACACTTAGATTTGGGTCAGATTCTCAGTGGCTGAAAATGATGCTGCTGTGGACCAGTGCCCAGGGGCAGTCACTCAGGATGAGTGCAACGTAAGATAAAATTCACCTTTCTGAGTTTTATATGCTTCATTTTGCTCAGTCTTCTGGTGGTTTTGTCTGCTACAAAGTCGCCACAACTAACCAAGCAGTTGCCCCTGAATGCCTGTTTATTTTGCTGTCTGATTCAGTTGTTGGCACTACATGTGTAAAATGCTGCTCCGTTCTTCCTGCCAGATAAACAAAGTTTTATAAAACAACTAGACAGAACTAGTATAAACATTGGGACACAATCCGTCCAAAGCCCCAGACATCTAAAGAATCAGCCACCCCTTAATTCATCTTGCTACTTAACAAGAAAGCAAAAAGACAAAAGCTACCACCTGGCTGCCTGATCTCAGCGATTGATTTTTTTGGGGGGTGACTCAGATACTTCTTGCTGGGAGAAGAACATTCACTCAAGTACAAACTCTTTCCTGTTCCTCCCAAGTTATTAACACCGTGTTGCAATTTCTGGTATATCATTCAGCTGAGTAACCAGCAAATTATCCCTTCTATTAATTACACAAACTAGGGTAGACATTTGAAAACCTTTCACTTCTCCTTTTCCTCTCAGTACTTAGCTGGAAGAGGCTATCTGAGCTCCCTGGAGAAACTACAGTTGTCAATCCCAAAGATTTTACAGGTTTGGAGGTAGGTTGGGTTGGGGCTTTTTCAGTCATGGCACTTCATTTCTTGAAAATCTTTTTTTTTGCTGCTGAAAAATATCCATTAATGGCAAACATCTTTCGTCTCACTCTAATGTGTAAGAATGCGCCTTCTGCATCCTTATTTTAAACACAGAGCAGAAGAAACAATCCTGCAAGGCCTTCCAGTACTGTCTACCTGAACGGATGGCAGGAAACATCTCCCTTTACAGCTAACTCTTGAACTCCCAATTCCTATGACTTGACTATCCCTCCTTTTCCCAGCCACAACGTAGACTAGACTTGTATAAGACTATGCATATTACTTTTGTTACTGTCGCTTCCAGAGTCAGCAAAATCTCAGTACAGCTGTCTGTATCAGCAGAAACTCTGCTGGTTTCAGATGGAGGGAGTACCTCTATGCACAGTAAGTCCAGGTCCTTGCTTTAAAACTTTATTCTACCTGGCAGCATAGGCACGTTTACATGGTACTACATATAAACCCCCCAAATTAATTGTGTCCAGATGGAAGGCTGGCATTGCAGTGCTGCATGCAAACTTGATCTCAGCTGATGCAGGGAGACATCTTCTGCTACCAGGGGTAGCTCTTCCAGAGTCAGCTGTTACCTTCAGGGCACCACCCCACACATATAGACAGAGCCTGGGCACCAGCAACACCTCAGACAACATACTTTTTGAGAAGTCCAGCTCGATTGCTAGCAGGATTTATTTTTTCTTCCAGAAGAAACTGTTCCTGTGCTGTGTCTGTTCTGCACCAGAACCACGACTTTCTCATTTTCTCAATCTAAGCTCACCACAAGCAAACTCAGTTTCTACAAATAGGTTCATGGTCCTTTGTGAGACCTTTGATGAGCCTTTGCTGACTCTGAGCCAAGGTCTCAGCGCTTTGGATCCTCATGTGAAAAACTCATGCCTTCCTTGCAGGAAGTATACCAAAAATAAAGTGTTTACTACACAAACAGAAACCTCTGCTGAGTGAGGAGAATAGTGTGCCTACAGTACCGCTACATTTCTCAGTGGAGATACTCAAGTTCCAGTCAATCACCAGGCACACTTCAATGCCACGCCGATGTTCAATGTCATACCTGTCTTCAGCGCTTTACGGTACACATACACTCACACTCTGGGGACAGGAGCTGTCTCTCAGACCCATCAACTTGGGCTTTGTGTAGAGCCAAACATCTCCGAACTTGTATTTGAGAATGGAGATGTGCCACTAGCATTCACACCTGGCAACACTTGTTTCCTTTGACTATTAGACAGGGTACCACCACTGAAAAATCACTGCAGCATTTTGAAATACACCTCACACAAAAACATTGAGAACTAAGTATGGTGAAAACAAATTCATTTTTTAAGAGGTTATTTTTACTATTTATAATAAATAAATACATATAATAAACATACAAATAGTTTGTTTTCTATTGTTTTTATAAGCCCAAAGAACCAGGTTATCCTCATTTCCACTGATGGGATTCTGTTGATTTCAGTGGCGTTATTTCTTAATTTCACTAGCACAAGTTAAACAAGAGTTTGGTCCAAATTGACTTCAGTACCACTAAAGAACCTGAATGTAGATCTGAAAGTATTTCTAGTTCACAAAGCACAGTTCTGAGCTTGCAAATGAACTTTAGTTAGGTGGCCTGTAAGTAGCTCTATGTAAAAACTCATAAGGTTTTCTTCATCAGGGAGACTGAATGCTCCTTATACATAGATTTTATTTCACAAGGAACTCAATAACATCTCAAGTTTGTACAGACATGTTTGTTTTTAAAGTCCAGTCCATTCACCCTCACCCCTGTTACTTCACTGACACATTTCTCTAACTCTTCCATGTTTAGTGAGCGACAAATTATTTTATAGCTACTCAAGTTCCTCCTGCCAGAAGTTCAGCCAAAGAATCTTGTTTACTACCAATTCACAAACAGTGCATAGCTGTTCCACAGCAGCAAGGCTTAGTGCTCTTGCAGCCATGATGTTTTAGATATATGACTTGAGAAAAGCATCACATATTTGAGAGCTTGTCCATTTTTTCCCACTATATCAGCTTGGCCTAAAAAAAGGCAGCGCTTGACCCTACAACCCTAGTCCCAATAGGCTCATGTTGGTTTGGTTTTCCAAAACCTGCCCAACCTCAGCACCAGGGGTAGCCAGGAAGCTGCATTCACAAAAATAGGCAGTACTGAGCTGTCCTGAATGACCTCCCTGCTCACACCATCTACATAGCAGGACCACGGATGCATTTTGGCATTTCAGAGCTGCAGGAGAAGGAAGAGTACAGCCTGCAGAATAAACAAGGCCCCTTCAGTCATACATCACTCTGAGCCCAAGTGACTACAGAAAAAAAAAACATTTCATCTAAAGTAGTGGAGCTGTGATCCCTCAAAAAAACCCCATAGCATTTAAACAGTCACAAATGATGAAGGACAAAAACATATCCCAGAGCATCTTCCATTCAGTGAGAGGTGGTTTTGCACTTTCAAAACAACAGCAGCTTGTCACTGGCGACCCTGCAGGACTTCAGCAAATGCAGGACAAATGCAAGAGACAGTTGAGAGAAAATGATAGCCCGAGACAATATTCCTCTGTGCTGAGAAATGCATCATGAGTGAATGAGGAAGACAAAAACTTCAGAAAAACATAAAAGGATGAGAGGCAGCCACTTAAATGAATAAAAACATGGATACAAAAAATGCCGGCATCTGACATTAGAGGAAATTATAAAATATTTTCCCATTAATTTCCTACAATATTTTCCTGCAAATACTTCAAATTGTTACAAAAAGCAAATAAAAACCTCAAAATTATGCATACACGCATGCAACAGTTAAGATTATGAATGTTTTTTCTATTGTAGGCTCCTTTCTGATTTGCTCCAAAAGAAAGCAATATGGAACCAAGTCCTAAAGTCAATGAATTTATTCTATTTATACCCCAGTGTAACCGACAACAGAATTATATCAATTTACTTCAAATTGATTACTTCTTCAACTCATCAGGTGGCAGTTCTGTACATAGGCTTGACCTGATCAACATTAATTTTAAAAATCACTTAGATTTTAAGTAGGAAGGCAGGATAGTTTCCTGGGCATTCCACCAAACCCAAAATTAATAATTCTGTTTAAACTTGGTGCGAAAGTTCTCCTGCATCATAATTTGGCCGTATTTGAAGCTCTCCACAGACTAACAGCTTCTCTGTATATTTAAATTAAGGCTAGACGGCCAGCCTCCACCGAGTACCACAATTTAAGGTGTTGTCATTGCTACTACAATTGATACAGAAAGGAGGAGGCAGCTAAAAATTGTTAGTGAAGCAACTCTAGAATGACGGGAAATGCCTTAACTCAGAGAAAAAGTCAATTAATGTTTAAGGGCATATTTTTAAAAGACAAAAAAAAGAAAAGCTGTTTTAGAGCTTCTAAAACACCGGGAAATAACATGAAAGAAGCACATGTAAAGTAAGGTAAAAAAACATCAGGAAAAAAAACATTTGTTAATAAAACTTTCTATGGGCAATGGGAAATTTAAAAAATAAGTGTAATCCATATTTAACACATAAAATAGCTAGGTGATTTAAGAAGGATGTGTATACATCAGTTTACTTGGATAACAGAAGTTGCCATTTCTCAACTGAGGAGCCTTTTGCCAGTGTCTGATGCTCTGGAAGGAAAATTTAAACTGTGAGTTATATTGGTGTTCTGGAGTTCCGCACCACAGACAGAAATGTTATTCTAGATCACGTCTATTAGTTTAGATCTTGCAGACCACGGGGCTGATAGCTCCTCTGATGTCATTCTAGCCATACAAGAGAAGATAATATCATTAGCTGAACTATCATTACATATACATCTGCTTAGGAAAAAATCGAGTTAGGCTACAATAGAAATTTTACCAGAGGAAGAAAATGGGGACTAGTGTAACACATCTAATGTATTCTGTGAAGTATGCTACAATATTATCCTTAGTCATATAATATGACAGAGAATGTTACAGGTTAATTATATGTTATGTGCCTCTAGCTTTGACATTACTGACTGCAGAATAGTCATAACTTTAGCACTAAAGATGTAGTCATGCTGTGCCAGCCACAAAATTAATTTGTATTTACACAGTATTCACATCTTGCAGTAAAATATTGAGTTGCACTTTCCTTAAAAGCTCTAGGATTCTGATTAAAAATGGTACGTCTTCTCCTTCCTCTACATAAAATAATTTTATTTTTATTAGACACACTTTGTAAAGAATGCTAAATGAAAAAAACTAAATGGTAGACATCTTACTTTTCTTACCAGTTGTTGGTTATTATAACACCATAGACTGACAGTGGTGAAAGTGCGAAGAGAACTGAACCTTTCAGAGCTGTATTTGCCTTGGAAAGGTCTATCGGGACAACAGTAATAATTCCATTATATTGATTATGTGTTTTACATGGCATTGTTGGTTTTTACCTGCATTAAGCCATTGGACATCTGTGGGCTATGTATGCAAAAGGCTGCTACAAAATGCAAGTTCAAACGTATTATAAATAACAGTTCAGGTAAGTTAAACTACCAAAGGGGCTCTACCTTCAGTAAAAATAATTGATGAATCTACAAGCCAAAACCTGTTGAAAATTGCCACCTTTAATGCAACAGCAGACACATTTATTTAAAGAAACAAACTTCCAGTTCAACATAATTCACTAAACACTATCGCTGTCTGAGTTGGTCTATTGGACGTTTACCTGTTTGTGTCCTGGTATAAGTTCCACAGGTCGCCAGATCAACATTAATTGAGAAGGTACCACAAAGGGACTTACAAACAACTCAAAATTTTCCTCTGAACCTCTTTGGTACTTGCTCTGGTGCTTCGACCCAGCAAACAGAAATGGGATGTGAACAAGTATCACCTCAGCAGTATGAAGCTACATTGGTCATACACCGAAACAACTTCCAGTCACAGCAATGCGGGAATCAACTGCGGGAAAGTATTAACATGTGCAAACAGGACAGCTCTAATAGGAGTGCTGAAGTTGAAGCAAATCCATACAGTGCATTCTTTATGGGTGAGAAGCCTCTGATAGATACACGATACCTAAAAGCTAATTTATAATAATTTAACAGAAATTTATTAAGTAATAATGGCAGAAAAAACCTCCTCTACCCCTGTGAATGCAAAGTGCAGGGTTTAGGGTGGAATCCAGCAACACGCCCACCAAACATACACACATACATACGTATGTACGTACATACAACTTGGAGAAGGCATCATTCACACTCAAAGATATGCCCAGTTCTGCAAATCATGACTCGCACCACCCAAGGCACCACAGACGCTCTGGATATAGTACGTCCAAATGGTAAGAGCTGAAGACTCAGTAATTCTAACTGGTCCAGCCACTATTTTGCTGTGTATTTTCAAAAGGCTATGAAGCTACCAAGTGCATCTGAAAGACTTAATACAGGTACTGAAACAGGTGGCAATGTTTGCCAAGTGCAGTTAGGATGAAAAATGATTGAGAAATGCTCCTATTTATAACTATATGGTGAAAGTCCACTTATCAATTTCCATACACTTTCCTTTTTTTGCGGGGGCTGGAGGGAGGAAGAGCACAACAGCACCATCTTCCCAGATCTTATCTCTTATGAAAATAACAATGAACAAATAAGGGAGGCAGCTGGATGCACCAGCCAGTGGTACACATTAACATGCAAGAAATCTCAATCTTGGAATATCCTCCAACTTCTCCTGCGAGCAGAGGAGAAGAAGTGGTACAAATTCATTTCAGAAGTGGCATTCGTGGCCTTATAGGGAAGCAAAGAGGATGGAACTTTCACCCCCGGCGGGATCCTTACGTCCAGATCCTGGCCTGGGCTGGCCGAGCATAGGACGGCTACTGTTGGAGGCGGCCACCCCAACAACAACCCGGGCACCAGAAAGCCTCCGGTGCCCCTCCTCGGGCCACATCACCCTCCCTCTCCCCTGGGCAAGTGGATCAGCTTGGGGAAAGGAAGATGCTCTTGCAGGAGCGCGGGCAGCGACTCCCGCGGCTCGGGCGGGCATCCCCCAAACCGGGGCGGGGGGGATGCATCCCCTGCGGGGGTGGGTGGCTCCGTGCCCATCG